CCAGGGCCCCCCAGACAATGTCAAGTCCCTGATATGTGAGCAAAGCTCTACCCAGGGCTCCCTGTCTTCCTTCCCGACATCTCACCGTCTCCCTCCACACGTTCTTGTCATGAGTCACGCAGATGTACCCTGTCTCCTCAGCACAACCTGTACTTCACGTGTGGCCTGTTGACGGCTTCTCCCCTTCCCCGAGGATTTGAGCAACTCTGGTAGCCTGTCAGTGGTGGCACAGTTGATGTTTAGACACTTGTTGTGCCCCGCCCAGGCTGACCCTTCCCCCGTGGATGCTCCTTCATCAAAAGCAGAGTTCTGCCTGGTAACCACTATCACATACCTCATTTCACCACAGGATGCAACACTGTATAGAGATGGGAGGTTTGGAAGTTAAAGTCGGTGAAGCTGCTAGAAGAATATTAGTATTTGATTCAAGCCAGAAGTATTTTCTAGACTTTTTGCATACCCCTGTTGAAGACAGGGAGAGTCTGGGGATCAGAGTATGCCTCAAGCAGGTGGTTGTGTGCTAGCCAGCGTTCTTCAGCAATAAAAGTTTTCCTTTCAGAATGAAGAGTATTAAGAGAAGGGACAAGTAAGATAGCCAGTACAACATGAGACGTCTCCGAGGGGTACAGTGTTAAGCTCAGTGCAGCCAAGCCAACGGTCAGCCCCATTTTAAAGGGGCTCTACCCTCATGAACAGTTGTAACAAACTTTCATGGAAGACCTTGGACTCCTCTGCCCTGACTCAGGGAGGCTGAGTAGCAGCTGGACGTGAGTAAAGCTGGACCAGTGCCCCCCGTTCATTGTGCACCACCTGCCCATCACGGCTCAGGACAGTCTCCTTGAGGGCGATTTTGTACAGTGGTGCCTAACTACAACCAGGAGACCCCTAACCGAGGGAGAACTTCCATGTAGAAGCTCTGAAATCTAACCAGGCCTTTTGGACCAAAGAAACTCATGTTTGTTTTGGTTGATTTGTTTACTAGTGAACAGTGATGCACGTAACAGTGTTTTCTCTGCCTGCTTGGATTTCCACCTGCTTACAGAACAGTTGCCCTGGTGAGGCAGTATCTGAGACTTAGGTCAGGTGGACTAGGGGTTTTGGCTTGCCAAGAATAGTAGTTTTGTTCCATATAAGTATCACTTTACATAACTGCCAATAAACCCCAGTAAATGAACCTTCCTTAGCATATAAACACCACACAGCTGAGCTGTTTACTGTTAAATATTTACTGTGAGGCTTTGGGACATTAGAACTGGTTTTTCTAGTTTCTGTGTCCCCATCAGATACTCCATTACCTCAGCAGGAAGCATTCAGCTTTTCCTTGTCTTTATTCCAAAGCACCTTAAATCCTATTTCTAAAATATGGCTGCTTTTATTTATTAATTTTATTTGTAAGGCCATACCTTATAGCCACATGGAATTGGTGAGTGTTCACTGGTGATTCAGAGCCCAGATCTGGGGCCAGCCTTCTGCCTCTCTGACATGGGCTCCCAGGACGTTCCCTAAATGCCAGTTGTTGGGATTCCAGAACTTGTGACTTTCTCTGTTGCTGGAAAGATAACCGCAGAGCCTCAGAATTTAATCCTACAGCCTATGAAAATGTTCTGCTTTGCCATATAACCCCAGTTAGCTTAAATTAGTAGTTTTCTCTGTTCGATAAGTAATTTGGAAATTGGTCTTGGTCATCAAACATTTCACAGGTTTTCTCCACTCTGTTTTCAACACATCTTCAGCCAATTTGGTATAATCCTCTTCCTTAACAGACTTGTTGAGCAAGAAAGGCATAGTTTATTTTCTAAAACTTTACATTATAATTAGAAAAATAAAACACAAGGCAAACATGGCTGAGAAATACTTTTAAACATATTCTGGGAAATAACAATTTTGTAACCACAATCCTTTTAAATATTATCTTCTGTCTCCTAGACATCAAGAAGCACAGGAAAACACTATGATAAGAAATTAAAATTCTGGGCCATTTTGTTTCATGAAAATAAGTTCAAAACTTCCAGACAAAATATTAGCAAATTGAATCCAGCAGTATATAAAAACTGGTAATACATGATGACCAAGGGTTTATTTTTGGAATACAAAGTTGACTTAACATTTGAAAATAAGTGTGATTTATTAACACAATAAGGGAGAAGTATATGATTTTGTTAATGGATGCAGAAGAAGTATGTGGTTAAATTCAGTACCTGTTCATAGTAAAAACTGTCAGAAAACTAGGACTAGAAGGGAACTTCTTTAATCTAATAAAAAGTATCTACAAAAATCTACAGCAGAAATCCCACTTAGTGGTGAAATATTAAAAGTTCTTCCTCTATAGTGGGAGTGAATCTGGGTGTCTTGGTTCATGATTGTTAAACTGCAGTCCTGGCCAGAAGTCAGAAGAAAGAAATACAAGGTGTAGGACTTGAAAGAAAGAAGTAGAACCATCATTATTGACAGAGGACATGATTGTATATGTGGAAAATCCAAATCTGAGAGCAACTATTAGAATTAATAAGCAGATTTAACAGGGGTTAGATACAAAGTCAACATATACAACCCAAATGTATTCTAAACAAGTAAAAGTAACCCCCCAGTTTTTTAAGTTTACACTAACATCAAAGGGAAAACATGAAATACTTAGGAAAAAACAAAGTTGTCTACAATCCCTACGTTGACAACCACAAAACATTACTGAGAGACCCAGACTGGAGAGATGTGCTGCATCATGGGCTGGGAGAAGACTCACTGTTTAAAGATGCCAGCTATCCCCTAACTAGTTTATAGACCCAGTGCATCGAGTCAGAACCCTGGCATACAGTGGCATCTAGCGGAGCAGAGAGAGTGAAAGAACTTGCTCTCACAATATGGGAAACCTCACAGACAGTGTTGACCAAAAGAAGTGTATAGCCTGATTCGTTTTTATAGACTCAAAAGCAAACAAAACCAGTTATGGTTTGAGAAGTTGGTTAGTGGTTTCGTTTTGAGGGCAGGGAGTATAAGAGAGAGGGACACGGGGCTTCTGTGATGCTGGTAACGTTGGCTTTGTTTTTCACAAACGATTTCTTTGTGAAAATTCAAGTGGTACACATAGCATCTGTGCTTTGAAGGATGGTATACTTCATTTAAAATTTACCTTAAAACAGACAGGTATAGAAGGGATGAACACGAGAAATGAACAGACATTGATTCCATTACTGAAAAACCTACCAGATTAGGGAATTGCCCCCAACACTCAGAGAAAATAGGCAACATCTGTTTTGGTATAGATTGCCCACTGGTCCATCTGACAGGAGCATTGCTGTGGGGCACGCTGGGCTGTTCGTGGTGCCATCATCTCACCTTCACGAAGCCTGCATGGCGGGCTGTGAACACGTCTGTGCAGGATGAGACCTCGGGCGGGGCTAGGGTGAGGAAGGCGAGTCCCGTTGCAGTTTACAGAGAGGAGAATCCTGAGGTAGAGAAAAGAGGACGTTCTAAACTAAAGCTGTCCAACGGAGCACTCCGTCATGATGGGAGGGTTCATGTCTGTGCTGACCAATATGCTGGCCACTTAGCCACATGTGGCCCCTGAGCACTGAAATGTGGCTGGTGCATCTGAGAAACTAAGTATGTAATTTTACTTAACTTAAATTCAGATATCATACATGGCTGCTGGCTGCTGGCTTAGTGCAGTTCTAGCCAATGTGCGTAGTTACACAAGTGCAAGGCTTGATGCAGTTAAAGAACAGTAAGATGACAGGAACGACCGTAAGGAGCAAATAATGTGGTGAGGAGCAGCCACCAGCAGTGGCCTCACCGGAGGTTCCTGTAGAGGAACGGGAGTGAGGAAAGGGATTCCTAACCAAGCAGGTAACCTCACCCCATGCACCTGTCCCATGGTCGCTCTTCCTAAATAAGGAGTGTTTTCAGGACAATTTAAAAAGCTGTACAACAAACACACTTTCATTAACACTTCGATGAACTCTGGGGTAATCACAGTTCATCATAAATTTCTTGAGATGATCAAGTTTCTTTTATTTTAATCAGTGAAGTGAAACCTTAGTTATAAAGGGGATAAAACATCCATCACTTTTTTCCTGATTTATTCCAGTTCTGTGAACTATTTTAGATATATAGTAACATTTAAAATAGCTGCTGTTTAATTTGAGCAACATATATAAACCAGATGAGGATAGAATCAGCTGAGCTTGCCTTGCTGACACAATTGTGTGGACACTGTTAGGTGTCAGGTCACCTTGTGCGTGGTCAACAAGGCCATGAGTTCCAGAAACATGACTTACTCTGCAAAGTAAGGGTTCTCACCAAATGCAGGAATTCCCTCTGTAGCATGTTAGGGCGGGTCTCCATCCAAGAACAATAGGAATGTTTGACATCTAAGTAGATTTGACAACAAAAAGACATGTTTTATATTGGTATGACCCTCTTAATTTGTAAAAATTATCAGCCCATCAACCCTATGAGATAGTAAGCCATTTTATTCTTAAATAGGTATTCATTTAAAATGATATTTTTAATAATTAATACTTATAATTAGAACTGAGTGTAATTTTTAAAAATACAGTAAACTCATCAGTATCTAAAATGATACTCTCTTGGCTTCTCTTCCTTTGCCTTTGCTTTTTATTAAAGAAAGTTTTTCAGAGGAGAGTACGCCTGAAGCGAATAATCTCACAGCATTTTCTGGTGGGTGACAGCTTTGACGTGAGGAAGGGACCCTTCTGTTCTGTAGCTCAAAGGTTGTCTATACACAGAGCAGGCCTGGGTGAATGTCTGGTGTTTGAGCAGTGGGTGAGTGAATGAAGATGCAGGCTTACTGACGAGGCTGTCCCTCTCTTTCCCTCTCGTGTTCAGCGGAGCTCAGGAAGTTGGGCTAGTCAGTGCAGCCGTGGTTGTGTTGGCAGCATCTGTTGTGACTAGAGTTACCGTGCAGAGCCGAGACCACTGTGTCTGTTTTCCACAGGTGCGCAGCTCCTTTTTTACATTCTCTGTGTGTCTGGTTTCCGCAGCTTGATTACGTCGACCCCAGAGCCGTGCAGCTTGGCTCGCTCCTGGTCCGCGGCCTCACCACTCTAGTGTTGGTCAACAGCGCGTGCGGCTTCCCCTGGAGGATGAGTGATTTCATGCCCTGGAATGTATTTGATGGGAAGCTTTTTCATCAGAAGTACCTGCAATCTGAAAAAGGATATACTGTGGAGGATCTTGTAGAACAAAATGTGAGTTCATGTTTTTTTTCACGTTCAGAAATGATTAAAAGGTTTGAAATCAGTGGAGCAGATGCATGGTGAAAACTCAGAGTCCTTGGCTGAGCGTCAGAAAGGTCAGCAGTGCTGTCTGGCCTAGCTGTCACTTTACTTTGGAAAACAAACATGCTCACCAGGAACATCCCATCTGAGGCGCGTGTTCCCAGGCTTTGAAAATTTACACAGGAAACATTACAACTGCTGGTTACATTGTTCCAATTACTGCTTTCCTGATAAAGGATTGTGTTATTCCAGAAAGCCAGAAACACATGATTGGAGGCATAAGGCTTCAGAGTCAAAGTATCTAATAGCTTCTGCCATAATATTTCTGTGGGGTTCTAGACCCCAAAATGTCTGCTGAGCGTCCCACCTAGTGGAACACGTTTTAATTTTCAAGTGCTCTTGCTCCTTTTCCCCTTTTTGAATTAAGAATGAATCTTTCCTACAGAGGTGCCTCTACAGACATTAGACTAATCTGATAGGAATAGTGAGGATTTATTACTTGAAAGTATCCTCTGAAGGTTGACGGTTCAGTTGGGGACGTTGGCTGCTGTTCTGGCTTTATAAGTACAATTGCTACATGATTCCTGGAAGATTTCCAAGTCAGGCCTCAGCCAAGCTCATTTGGAATGGGTTTTAATACCCACAGGCGTGCGTAAGACCAAGGGCTTATTGTCTGTTATGATCAAGTGCTCTAAGCTTTCACATCAGATCGAAAACATTTGGTCTTGTGTTGCTGTTGATATTTCTCATGCACACACACAAAACCCAGGGTGTCATAGGAATTTAAGTGTTCAGAATTTAGAAGTAGTCAAAGTTATGTACAGACAGTAGAAGCAGAGTAACAAGGAAGATATTCCTCAGATGTGGCCTGTTTCTGTAGACTTGAGGAAAGGTGAACATGTAGCCAACGTATGGCACAGCCTGTGAATCCCCAGGCATGGGTCTGTCTTTCTGTAGCTAATGTTGTGACAAAGTACAGAGTGGTTGTCGGTTCACACCTCTGCTTTAAAACAAGGCAGAGAGAGGGGCCGGGCCGGCGGTGTAGCGGTTAAGTGCGCGCGCTCCGCTGCGGCAGCCCGAGGTCGGATCCTGGGCGCACACCGATGCACCACTTGTCAAGCCATTCTGTGGTGGCGTCCCATATAAAGTGGAGGAAGATGGGCACGGATGTTAGCCCAGGGCCTGTGTTCCTCAGCAAAAAGAGGAGGATTGGCGACGGCTGTCAGCTCAGGGCTAATCTTTCTCACAAAAAATAAATATATAAATAAATAAAACAAGGCAGAGAGGATAGAATAGTCAGTGTTCCATTCCTCAATCTGCTGCTGTTTTATGTGACATTGCTAGTTCCGGTTAATGTCTTACAACTGGGAAGAGTTGAAATAATAACATTAATTACAGGCATAGATTTTTTGCAGTGAGGTTGTGTGGTAGTGACCTAGATGTCATAACAGAACTTGAAGACTCTTTTTTAGAAATGACTCTCTAACCTACAGAAGACAAGAGAAGATGCAGATGCTAATGTTACCTTTCCCAGGGATTCGTTTTCTCAGAGCCTCCTGTTAAGTTACAGTGTTGAAGGGAAGCTGTGCTCCATATCCTTGGAGACTGTTTTCACTGTGCAGTTGTGTCTCCTGAGTTCCTGCCTGTGTCTGTCACTGCTCCACCCGATCTGGTCTGTTTGCAGAAGTCTCGGCTCACCAAATTCCACAACCTGAAGTCCATCGTGTGCAAGGCCTGCATGAAGGAGAACAGACGCATCATCAGCAGGCGGCACTGGCATTCACACCACTCAGGTGAGCATCAGTTACTCAGTTTCCACCAGGCTAGACCCTAACTGCCTTGTGTGGCTTATCAGTAAAGAATGCCAAGAAGAGACTGTTGAAATTGGAAAAGAAAACAAAGTTAAAATGATAGGGTGCTATCCAGTGGTTTAAATTCTGGTCCCATTAGGAAAAAAATTTTTCAGAGGGTTCATTTGTTAAGTGCATAGTTAAGAACTCTTCTCTGGGTGCATAACCTCCTTTCCAGGATTCCCTGAAGTACAGACGCTGCTTGGGTAATGTCTGTTTATTTGATAAAAGTTTGAGTTTATTTTTTTTTCTCATAATAAAAGTATATTAGAAAAATTTAGAATATAAAGGAAATAATTAAAAAGGAAATATAAGTAACCTTTAATTCTGTTACCTAAAGATAACACATGCTGATGGATAAGGTATCTTTGCATTGTTTTTCTGTGGTTTTATCTGACTGTGATTGTACTCTGCAATTCTGTGTCCTGCTTTTCCACTTAACACTTAACTTACAGCATAGTCAGGATGATAAGGCTCCTCCTCGAGATTGACTACAGACCCCCATGACATGTGCCTTGTTTGCTTCACGGTCCCTTGGAGCTCTGAGGGTGCTTCCATTTTTCCTCATTATACATAATGCTTCTGTATGCTGTAGTTTACAGAATTATAGATCAAAATGTAATTGAGTCTTAGATAAATGGTACCAACTTGTTTCCTAAAAACGTTTTATCACTTCATCCCTTCACCAGCCATGACTAAGAGTTTCTGTTTCATGGCACCCTTGACAGCATTGAAAAGTTTTTTTTCTTCAGTGATTTGATAGATGAAAAAGTGTATCTTGAGGCCGGCCCAGTGCCATAGTGGTTAAGTGTGCGTGCTCTGCCACAGCGGCCCAGGGTTCGGATCCCAGGTGTGGACCGTCGCATCGCTTGTCAAGCCATGCTGTGGCGGAGTCCCATATAAAGTAGAGGAAGATGGGCACAGATGTTAGCCCAGGGCCAATCTTCCTCAGCAAAAAAAAAAAAAAGAGAAAAATTGGCATCAGGTGTTAGCTCAGGGCTAATCTTCCTCACAAAAAAAAAAGTGTATCTCGCTGATTGGATGTTTCCTTGTTTATCAGTGAAGTTGGACATCTTATTTATTAGCTTATTTTTTTACTGAGCTTATTTTAACTATTATATCATGTCCTCATCGGGTTAGGATCTCTACCTGTTAACAGTAGTAACCCCATTTTTTTCTCGATGGAATAAGAGAACCCACCCCAGATTCCTACTCACCAGACTATCTTCAGGAGGTCTGCTTGGCGTCAGCCTTGCAGATTTCGTTCTGAGAGGCTTTATGTCTCAAGGTCAGTAGATCACGTTGGGACATGTCCAGCTCCTACCAGGAGCCATGTGTGGGTCGACTGAAGGAGCTCACCTGGGGCAAGTAAAGGGACTTCCAGGCATGAGAACGGCTCTTTCTTCCATTTCCCAGGAGGAACAGAATCCCTCCTGCCCTATCCTTGTCTCCATCGTTTAACTTTCTCCGACCAGATGTAGACAGGCAGAACTGGAGACCCCAAAGCAAAAGTTTATTCCTTGCAAAATAAATGTGCAACATTCTCTCAACTTTGCCTGTTCCCTGAACTGGTTGGCAGCCTGTCACTCCAGCAGCCTGCCCTGCAGCACAGTGCTGCAGGATTCCCATCGCCAGTGGGATTGGGGGAGAGCAGTGACGGGGCGGCACGAATGTGCAGATGGCAGAAAGCAGGCTCTTTTAAGCTAGCGGTAGTGCCGGGATCTGAATGCCTAAACCTCTCTCTGCATTTCAGAGGGCAGGTGCTCAGGCTTAAGAGGACTGTGTATGTGACCAGTTCATCCTGAGCCCTGAAGGTGGCCTGTGGTTTCACGCATGCCATGCATTTTGGTTTAATGCTGCGGTGCAGATACTTCTCATCCTTTCAGGAAACTGTATTTGACTGCTTTCTAATGAAGGTGCATACAGATGAGCAAAATTTGGTGACCCTGTCATATTATTCTAAGTTAACGAGGAAAACTATTTCAAGAGCTATGATGATGAGTCAATTTACGTGATTTAGAAGTGGTTCCTTTCTTTGTCCTCACAGTCGTTTTCTTAACAAATACAACTTGTGGTTCTATGGTTCACCCCCCTCGGTTTGCAGGAGGAAAACCAAGGCCCATGTGACTTGCCCGACATTGAGCAGGTTCTTGATGGCAGAACTTGGACTGGAGTCCCCGAGCCTCTTGACCCCCAGCCCAGAGTTCAGTAGTCTCTGTGCCCACGTCTCCGTGCTCAGAAGGGCTGTGAAGACACGGCAGGTCTCCAGAACTCGACCTCTCCTGGCCACGCAGGCTGTACAGTGAGGCTGTGGGCAGCCACCCACTCCCCTTGTGTTTACACCTGGCCCCCAGCTGACTGCTGTGAACCACAACTGCTTAGAACATCGAGTGATCTGAACTGCTCAGGGTGCCGGGCACAGGTGCTATGGCCCCGAGAGATTGCTTCTTTACCTCTATCCCTGAGCTCCAAGTTCCCCCACTTGGGCTCTCAGTGCTGGAGATGAACCAGGTAGCATCATGCATCTTGGTTCTGGTCCAGCATCAAAGCTGAAAGATGAGTGCAGATGTGTTTACTGTCCCAGTACAATAGGAGCTTGGCCTGCACCCCACACAGGACCCACAGAGGAAAGGGCCGCCGTCATCTGGCTGGGTCACGGAAATGGTAATGCAGGAAGTGGCACCCAAGCAAGGGCTTGAGGGCCTCATGAAATTTGGGGTTGTAGTGGATAAAGGGATATTGCAGAAGAAAGGTGCTGAGGCGACAGCAGAAAAGTCTGGTTTCTGAAAGATTGTCGGTAGTGAGATTGGGTAAATCCAACGGGAACAGGAGAAAGGCTGGGAAGGTGAGTAGGGACTAGACCACGGGAGGGAGGCTGATGAGTCGTGGCTGTGGTGTCCACAGCAAAGTGGAGAGCTTTTGATGGATTTTGAAGTGACGTGATCAGAAGGATGCTTTTAGAAAAGCATCTCTGCCACCAGTGTAGGAAAGTGAAGATAAGGAAGTGGAGGCCTTGCCTAGGCACCCAAGGAAGATGGCTGCCAAGCAGTGGTCAGTCCTGGGGACGGTGTCGGAGTAGCCGGGGCAGTCACATGCCTGCACACGTCAGTCAGGTGGCGCTGCAGCTTGCACACAGCGGGCTTTGCTGTCTCCTCCTCCCTGGAATACTTAGCCCCTGTGCACTGCAGACAGCCTCCCTGTCCACAGCCGGGCAAGAGTATGCACGTCCAGAGCAGGGGTCACACGGGCGGACCAGCTAGTGGAAATTTTCCTGTGTCTTTAGAGTGCTGGCTCGAGCCTGTGGCATAGCATGGGGCAGCCTTGGCTTTCTTTCTTTGTGGAGCACCGTGAAATAGCAAGATATCAAAAAAAATCACATTTACATATGTGCTTAGATCTTCTAGTGTTAAATTCTAGTAGAGATAAATGGTAGAAGGTGTCAGAGTTTAGGAATTTAGGAGAGGAAATTTTAGAGTAAGAAATTTTGTGAATTAGGTTTGTGGAGAAGTGGGAGGAGAGAACACCTTGGTCTGGCTCATGAAGTCCCAGGAGCGTTGCTCGCCCAGAGCCCTGAATGCTGGTGGTGGCGGCTTTGGTGAGGAAGCACTGCTGGTGGCCAGTGGGATGGGGCCTGGGCCTCTGGCTGTCAGGCAGAGCCGCGTCTGGCCCCACTGCCCCAGGGAGGCAGAATCCATCAGAGTCCCTACTGAGGGCCCTGCTTTGAAGGGAATCTAGCAGAAAGCCCTTGCTCTGGACCAGTGTCTTTGAGTCCACTCCTCTCATCACCAACACAGGTTGTCCTGGGGAAATGCCTAAATGCAGAGCTCCAGCTCCCACCACCCAGCCACCTCTGGCACTGCGGCCCCTAAATCTGCATTTTTCATGGGCTTTCCCTGCAATTTAAGGACACCAGAAGTTTGAAAACTGCCAAGCTGGTGCCACCTTGCTTAAACATAGCATGTCATTTGGGGTTAGGCTTCTGGTAGCTTGCTAATGTGCTGATTACGTGTCCCCACAGGGAAGTGGGGAAGAGAGGGATCGGGCTCCCACAGGACGAGCTCTGGGCGCAGCCGGTCTGGCCAAGGACAGCACTGCAGAGACCAGGGACCAGGTAAGAGGCCGGCAGCCGCAGGCCGGGGCACCTGCAGCAGAGCTGCTTGTGTGGTGCTCTTATAGCACTGCACAGTGCTGAAGATGCCTTCTATCTGTTTTGGAAATAGGTTGTATATTTACAAGTAAATAAACGGATAAATGTACTCATATATCTAATTCCATTCTTAGTGAACTAGAGGCAAATAATTTCCATGCTCAATGCCGGGCTGTCTCTGCTCGTTGCCACTTTATTTTCTATCAATTCATTCATCTGTTCAAGACTCAGTTTTTATAATTTACTCAAAGGAAGTCATTTGTAAATGTTACATGCACATACATCCTTCCAATAAAAACATAACACGAAAAGCATTCTACCAAGAGTAGCATTTTGATATTTCCCGTGACTTGGCTTATATATGTAAGAGCCTTACAGTGTGATCTAAGAAATAAAACCAACCTTTTACTTCTTATGTATGTAATACAGATATCTGGTTTTAATGCACAGAGCAGAATTTAGTGTAGCTTTAGATACATAGAAAACTTCATATCAGTATTTAAACTCAAATTCCTTACAGTTTTGAGAGCCAAAACTGTGTAAAGTTTTAAATTACGTAAGATTTATAATTTTATCCTTTCAAATGCAAACACACCTTTAACTTTATTTTTTTTAACTTTTGCAACCTATAAAATGTATGGAGATTTCACATATTGCTCAAATTATTGCCTAAAGCACAGCAAGTCTTGGTCATTAACCGAATCAGTGTTTCTGGGTTTGCCTCTCTGCGAGCAGCCATTGTCTGCCGTCACTGGTGACGTTGCTGGGTGGGCATCTGAGTTGAGGCTGTGTGTGCTCTAGCTCAGCCTGGTGCGTCGCCTGGTGGAGGACCGCATTCTTTCCTTCCTTTCTCGGTAGAATCTGCACATTCAGCAAATGTTCGGAGTCCACTGTGTGGTTCAGTTGTAGACCAAAGTTTATGATGAATATTTTTGAAATGCCCATCCCTGGGGGAGAGAGAAAAGCTCCATAAATTTGGATTTACAATCGCTTTAGATGTTCCTTTGAGCCAGCTTAACCTGCAGTCTTTGCCAAATCCTGCCACCCGCTGTCATCTGAAGCCAGCAGGTGGTCTGTTGAACACATTTAGTAACATTCCACCCTCTTGGGATCTCTAGTCCAGTATAAGCTTAAGGATTACTTCCACTTCATTGCCGACTAAACCATCTGAATATTTATGCTAGTGCTGTGTGACTGAGATGAGGGCAAATATCTTCTTTCCATTATTTCAAGTATATTTGAGATTGCTTTTAATTTAGAAGGACACTGCTGTCTATGATGACACCCAGTGCTGTAGAATCGCTACCACTGCGGTGAGTGAGTGTTCAAAAGTGTGACATTCGACAGACTTTGTTCTCCCCTTCTTTTCAAGTGCTACATTGACTGCGGGCCCAACAGTCACTATGTGGCCCTAAGGATCCTGTATGTAGCAAACGCCATGCCTGCCCTGGGGGCTCAGCGGTGTGCTGGGGTCCGACAGCCGTGGACACAAGTGCCTGCTCGGCTCTCGTCCGTCAGACCTGTCCACCTGTATTGGGGCAGTGAGGTTGCTTGGGGCTGCTTGGGAAGAGGGCAGAATTTCTAACTCTTTAAGGATAACAGGCCTTCCTCAAGTGAACCAGGGTGAAGGTATTTCTGAGAGAAGGAAGAATCTACACAAACGCACATAGTCCTGAGAAGGGGGAGCCTACACTTTCTCTCCCACACACTCTCTCCCTCCCTCTCTGCATTTTTTTTTTTTTTGAGGAGCTTTAAATTTTTATTTTTATGGTCTGGAACAGTTCATATGGTATAGTATCATTTTTAAAAATTTTTTATTTTATTGAGGTCATATTGGCTTGTAACTGTGTAAATTTCAGTTGTAAATTATTATAGTTCAGTTCCTATATAGACTGCATCGTGTTCACCACCAATAGTCTAGTTTCCATCCATCACCATACATATGTGCCCCTCTACCTCTTTCAACCTTCCCCCACCCGCTTCCCCTCTGGTAACCATGAATCTGTTATCCATATCTATGTGTTTGTTTATCTTCCACATATGAGTGAAATGATACCATATTTGTCTTTTATTGTCTGGCTTATTTTGCTCATTTATAATACCCTCAGGGTCTATCCATGTTGTGGCAAATGGCACAATTTTGTCTTTTTTATGGCTGAGTAGTATTCCATTGCATGTATATACCACATCTTCTTTATCCATTCATCCATTAATGGGCACTTGGGTTGCTTCCATCTTGGCTGTTGTGAATAATGCTGCGATGAACATAGGGATGCATAAATCTCTTTAAATTGTTGATTTCATGTTCTTTCGATAAATACCCAGTAGTGGGATAGCTGGATCATTTGGTATTTCTTTATTTTTTTTGAAGCTGTAGGTTGTGTTTTCTTTCTTCCTTTTTTTTTTTTTTTGCTGGAGAAAATTCACCCTAACATCTGTTGCCAACCTTCCTCTCTCTTTTTTTTCCCCCTCCCCAAAGCCCCAGTACATAGTTGTATATTCTAGTTGTAAGTCCTTCTAGTTCTATGTGAGCTACCACTACAGCATGGCTACTAACAGATGAGTGGTATGGTTCCACGCCTGAGAAACAAACCCGGGCTGCCAAAGTGGAGCGCGCTGAACTTTAACCGCTAGGCCCTTAGGGCTGGCTTGAGTATTTCTATTTTTAATTTTTGAGAAATCTCCATACTGTTTTCCATAGTGGCTGCACCAGGTTGCATTCCCACCAGCAGTGTAGGAGGGTTCCCTTTTCTCCATATCCTCTCCAACACTTGTTATTTCTTGTCTTGTTAATTATAGCCATTCTGATGGGCCTGAGGTGATATCTCATTGTAGTTTTGATTTACATTTCTCTAATAATTAGTGGAATTGAACATCTTTTCATGTGCCTGTTGGCTATGTGTTTATCTTCTTTGGAAAAATGTTCCTATCCTCTGCCCATTTTTTGATCAGGTTATACATTTTTTTGTGTTTGAGTTGTATGAGTTCTTTATGTATTTTAGAAATTAACCCCTTGTGGGGTATATGATTTGCAAATATTTTCTCCTAGTTGGTGGGTTGCCTTTTCGTTTGTTGATGGTTTCCTTTGCCATGCAGAAGCTTTTTAATCTGATATAGTCCCCCATTTATTTTTCCTTTTGTTTCCCTTGCCTGAGTAGACATGTATTCAAAATGCCCTGTCCTGGAGCCCCTTCCTCCCTGTCTCTTGCCCCTTCTCTGCTGTTTTAAATGAGGGTCTGAGAAGATCCCTCTGACAAGGGGCTCTTTAAGCAAAGGCCTGATGAGAGGAGGGAGCAGCCATCCAGCACCTGGGGAAACGTCCTGCTGAAGGAATGACACTAATGCAGGGGCAGCCTGAGACCTGTGTGGCTGGAAGCAGCCTGTGAGGGAAGGCAGTAGGAAGTGAGGTCACACAGGCAGCAGGAGGAGCAGACCTCCTAGGGCCTCAGGGCTCTGTAACAATTCTGGAATGTACTCCAAAGGAGACACTGCGTGGTGGCTTGACCAGGGTGGTATCAGGAGAGGGGATGAGAAGTCACATTCTGGATAGATGTTCCCTTAGTCACAGACTGTCACCGAAAGTGCTCAAAACCTACAGACATTGAATGTAAAGCTGTGAGGAAACATATTTTGTAATACTAACACAGTTTGAATTTAGGTGCCAATACCATGCTTGAAGTACAAATGTTGATAGGCTTGGAGTGAAGCGAGGGTCCCAGCCCCATCCTTCCAGATATCTCATCCTAGGTATGTTTCAGCAGCAGGACCCTGGATACCTGGCCACCATTAAAATTTAGGTGTCAGGCACTCAAGGCCCTGGCCCCTCCAGGTAAGGATCAACATGCACCCACCCAACCCAGGAAAGCAAGGTGAGGATGAGGGAAGATCTGGTGGTGTGTTTCAGGCAGCCTGACACAGTGGGCCGTGCATTAGTCCTTCCCTTCCAGGATCTTCTCTGTGCTTCCCCCAAGCAGATGAGAAAGGCTGCCCCTAGCAAGCACCTCTCCCGGCCAGTTTCCTGCCGACAGTGTCCTGCACATGGCCTGGTGTGGTAGGAAACGGGGACCTCTGTTCACCCTCTTTGGTTCGGGCTTGTCCCCTTTCCTGCCCACTGTGTCTTGGGAAGTTGGGAAAGACAAGATAAAACAAAGTCAGAGAGGTGAGGGCTCCAGGTTAAGCCTGGGCGGAGGGGTGGGAGAGAGGCCACGAGTTCCACTGGTAGACTGTGGCATGTGGTTCTCACACATGCCTGTAGTGGAGCAAATGGCCCACACGCATGCATTTGTGCTTCCAGGCCATCCACCGATGGGCTGTGTCCCCTGAACTCCCTTATCTTTGCTGCTCAGCCTCGTCATCAGGCGTCCGGTCTGGGGAGCCCTCGGTGTCCTGGCTCTGAGTCTGTGGTTCTTGGATTCTTTTTCATGGTGGAATAGTAACCCTCAAGAGTAGAAGAGGGAGATTGTCATTTATGGACATACTGTCAAGAACATGCCTAATCTTGCCCCAAGCCAGGTGGAGCTGGACCTGTTTGGTCCTTGAATTTGAAGCCTCTTAGAATAGTAAGCATTCTAGGCTTTCTTTACTTATTTCACTTTTTTCCAGAGGTAGTCTGCTACAGTGGGTTCTGACAGGCAGACGCTGTCTCAAATCCTGGATCCACCACTTACCAAGGACCTTAGCAAATGGCGGAGTCTCCAGACCTGTCCACCGATTTCCGACATGGGTGCCCGGCTGTGCCGCGGTGCCATTGTGAGGACGGGAGAGGAAGTATTCATGTCCTTAGTGTTGAGTGGAGCTTCTCATTGTCTTTTCCTAAATCTTGTTCCAGAGCATTTTCAGTGTTACTTTCCTGGCATTAATTCTCGTGTTTCTCCTAACATTTAAAAGTTAGCTGTTTTCTTAGAGTTTTTCCTATTAAAAAGCAAACAATGTCAGTTACCCCTTGGTAAGGCTGTTTTTTAAAAATAAAATTAAAAAAGCAAGCAAACAGACTACAGCCTGGTATGTAGGTTGGCCTCAGTAATTTCGGCCCTCATTTACCTACCCCACGAGGAGCCGTCCACTTCAACACCAGTTCCTCCCCAGTGCGTCGCCGTCAACCTGTGAAAGTTTTCTCTACGTGCAGGCCAGTGCCAAGGAAGAAATGTCATGAAAGCTTATTCTTTACTTTCATGTGATGGCAAAGATTATAGGAACACCTTTAAATTGGAGAAGGAGAACCTATTTTCCTTGGCTCTATAGTGAACAGAGTTAAGTTTCTTCATATTCTGTTGGCAGAGAATATTTATGTCTGGAAATTTCTCCTCATGCAAATTTAAAAAATAGAGTTACTTTTCTTAGGGCAGAAGAGTAAATATTCATCCTCAGCCCTAGTTGCCTGGCCAGGGAGGAGAAGTCTTACTCTCGAGATCCTGTGTGACACTACAACAGATCCCTTGGGTCACAAACATGGTCCTGTCGGAGTTGAGTCACTGCTGGCCTTGCAGAAGCGTAGGCCGCCTGTTTTCACCTGTCCTACGTGTGTGTGTGAGTGGTCCTTGTAGCAGGTTGAAGTCAGGCTGAGAGATCTTCAGGTCGTATGCTCTTGATAATTGGGGTAGGTGAAAAGAAAGCAGTGGGATGGATACAAGTTTGAGGGTGAGCAAGTCAGATGCAGCAGGATGAAGAGAACTGGACATTGAGCCTAGTGGGAGTCTGGTGGCAGTGGTGTCCCACTGGGTCTGGACCGAGTGTAGGTAAGCAGCTGGTGACTCTGGTGTGCAAGAGGCTCTGAGGACAGGGCTGGCCAGGACGGGGAGGGGGCTGGAGGAGCTGGGGCTCCTTGTTTGGTCTGGCAGGGTGTCAAGTGCCCAGAAGGAGTGGTTCTACAAAGTGACTGGATCTGAGGCAGAGGGAGGGATGGGGTGTCACCGCAGGAGCCCAAGGCTAGGCTTTGCCAACAACTTGGGCTGATGAGATGGGTCTGAGCTGCTGTGGGAACAAGAAACACTTTTTAGCTGGCCCACATATTTTCTGACTGCTTTGTGCTCGTAACAGTATTGTACATGCTAGTTGTGGGAAAAATCCGAACTCTGTAGTGAAGACTCAACAACAGCTGTCGTGCCAGCAAGCTCACTGCATGTTTGGTGAACCTCCTTCTGATTTCCTGAGTCCTTCCGTCCAGCTCAGTCTCAAGCATAGCAGTGAGCAGAGTAGAGGCCCCCTGAAGCATGCTCATCTCCCTACCTGGGTGCTCTCTCCTCCCTGCACTACTGGGTGACCCCCTCACCTCCCTGTGCTGTGGGGTGACCCCCTCTCCTCCCTGTGCTGTGGGGTGACCCCCTCTTCTCCCTGCGCTACGGGTGACCCCCTCACCTCCCTGTGCCGTGGGGTGAGCCCCTCACCTCCCTGTGCCGTGGGGTGAGCCCCTCACCTCCCTGTGCCGTGGGGTGAGCCCCTCAC